AAAAAATGACACATGGCAGAAACGCAATACAGATTTTTACATTATAGAGCTGACTGCGCGTTGGAGCTGCTAGAAGAACAGAAATGCTCCAAAATCTGGCTAACTATTTTACTCTACTATTTTCATGGTTTCTTTGCATCAAATTTCCAGATTATGGAACATGGAAAAAGAATGGGCAAGCAAAAAGCTAAAATGAGCATCGTAAATATAAAAAAAAGTTCAGCATTTACAATTGTCAAAATTTTTTTGTTGAAAAGAACAGAAGAGAAATTCAACCCAATAGCCCTTCAATCGTGTACAACAGAGACTCAGCCCAGTCAGCTTTGAAAAGCAATGTCTGAAGCGTCTTCATAACATTGTAGTCTGGATCAAGCTTGCGCTGCCAACCCTATATCAATGAAAACGCATGGATTAAAATTTTAGTGAGCAGCAAATATAAGAGAAAATGAAAGAATGACAGAAACATAAGTCTAGAAGAATAATCACAAATTACTACGAATGCTCCAATTTAGAGAGAAACGCAGTATAGAGCATCCATTTGTTCTATATCTAATATGCTGAGCAACTCAATTTTTAAATCAAAGTAACAGAATTATCGTAAAGAGATAGAAGTTTAATCATATAACCCCATCGCCTAACAGATGGAAAACTTGGAAGATTCCCTTGGATAGCTCAGAGTTTTTTAGGTCATGTAAACTCGGAAAACGGAGAAAGTTGAATTTTAAAATAAATGAACATAATTGTATTAGTTTGGCGCCAACAGCACTATCTGCATCGGGCTCAGCTGAGTTGACGCCTAGCCAGTTAAAATAGTTTGAAGCCTTAAGTTAGACATAAGACTAAAATGTCAATTTAGTCATTTGTTAGTTATTACAGTGGGGTATAAATAAGATTTAATATGTTTATGATTAGGTTATGCTATGTGATTGTTGTCTTGAATATAGGGTTTGGGTTTGGGTTTGGGGGAGATCAACTACCTCTCGAATTGTAGGTGTTTATCATTTATGCATTTGAATTGTAATATTTCTTTGGTGCCAGTCATATTCAAGGCAGCTACTCTGACTTGTGTCGTCAAAAATAGCCAAGGCATCCTTTGCCTTCGTGAATGAAACTTGCAAAATAGTCACGATTTGAGCTAGTTAGACGGTCGATGAGATCAAGGCGTATAGGGCATCTCTGCTACATCGCCTTCATGATCAGAACTTGCAAAATAATCGCAATTTGAGCAAGCCGGGAAGTCGGCGAGATCACAACATACAAGACATCTCTGTTACATCGCCTTCATGACCAAACCTCGCTATGCAGTCGTGATTCGAGCTAGATAGGAGGCCAACGACAGTATTGCGGCATACAAGCTTCCTCCATGACCGAACCTCATGATACAATCACGATTCGAGCTAGCTGAGTAGCCAACAATGGGATCGCGGTGTATAGAGTTCCTCCTTCGTGATTTAAAAACCATCCTCGGAATATGACAGCCAAAAACGTAGATGCCTTGGAAGAGAAAGTAGAGGGGGAGTTCGGCCAAACCAGATATGAAATGGATGGAAAAGTTTTTTTTGGCCATAGAGGGGCGGTTCTCGTCCATGGAGATAAAATTCATGATTCTCGAAGATGAAGATGTGAAGCTTCATGCACAACAACCGTCGCATGCCGTAGGATATAGCTACGGCGTCTCGAGCAGAGGTGAGTGATAGCATTCTAAAAGATTTAAGTCATCAGGACAACATCGCAGCCTTAAGCGGATCTATAGACGCAGGATCGAGCACAGGAACTGAGTGGACTCGAGTGACAACACTTAGAAGGAATAGTGTGACATTCAAATGGCTGGAACCAAGGAAAGCAGGCGAGATCGAGCAAAGGAGTTGGCACTGGATATGAGCGTTAGCATCTGGAGGAAATTGCATGACATTTGAAGGTTTGGAACAAGCAACACCAAACAGAATGGGACCACGTACGATTCGGGGCTTGAAAGGATCAATTCGAAGAATTTCAGCTAGGAAAATGGAACATGGAACCATGGTGGGTGGGACCCCGACGAAGAGCTACATCTAGCTACGACAGTTTCAGTTGTTGCTATAGCCTTCAGGACGGAAGACACTTAGGATCCTATGGGGACAAGGGAGTTGATTATGAGGTGAGCCAAATTTATGGAATAAGAGATATCAGTAGGCTTCAGTCAAGAAAATTGAGACTTGCATAAGGAAGCTGAAAATGTCGGTCTTTGAAGGAGATAATTATAGTTGGTTTTATCACGTGAAGAGATACTTTATTGTTAATGGGCTGACAAAGGAAGAAGATTAGATGACAGCGACCGTGTGTTTGGAAAGAAGGCTCTAGCGTGGTACCGATAGAGAGAACAATGTCAGCCAATCAGAATATGAGAATAATTCAAAGACCAATTTTCGGAGCATTTCAAAATCACGCGAGAAGGGGATTTATACAAGCATTTTTTTGCATTGATCCAAGAAGGGTCGATCATGGAATATAGGGAGAATTTTGAGATGTTATTGGACTGTTCTTTGGAAGACCACAATGACCATTTGAATAAGGAGTTGATGGTACTCAGGGGGTCCGTGAATCTATCAAAGGTGGCGGCTATGTTGAATTGACTAGTACATAAGACATTGAAGGGGTTGAGAGAGTTTCTAGGACTTACAAAATACTACTCGAAGTTTGTGAAGGATTACAGTTCGATTACGTGGCCATTAAAAAAATAATTGAAAAATGATAACTTTAAATGAGAGGAAGCTACGACCTAGACTTTTGAGAAGTTAAAAAAGGCCATGAAAAGTGTACCAATGCTAGTGGTACCGCCTCGGGCTGTGGGTTAGGTGCACTCATGCAGTGTCAACGACTCATCGCATACTTCAATCAAGTGCTGACAACAAGAGCAAGACTCAAGTTAACTTATGAGTGGGAGTCATATGACTTGATCCAACAAAAGTTTCCTTTCTACAATCTTCAAGACAAGATGTTTTCTGGGAAGAGAGTACTGTTAGACCGGCACATACAACACTGTCCTCCTCGTGCTTCACTAAGTTAATGTCGAGTCTGCTAAGATAGTTTGAAGAATTATATTAAGCGCAAGATTAAAATGATAATTTAGTCATCTGTTAGTTATTATTGTAGGGTATAAATATGACTTAATAAATTTAAGGTTATGTATGTTATGTGATTGTTGTCTTAAATCTAGGGTTACGGTTCAGGAGAGATAGTCTACCTCTCAAATTGTAGGTATTTATCCATTATATATTTAGACCATGTTGTTGTGCTGGTAAAGGAAAATATTGTGTTTGTCCTAATCTCTATGGAAGTTCTCAGTTTCCTATCATCAAAATGATATCGGAGCATTCGAGGTCGCAACTCTGTTAGAAACCTTTATTGTTGGCATTTGAGACCGCTTGTTAATCTCCGCCATCTTCAAGAATAATTAGCAAGGTAAATATGGGAAAGAAAGATTCTAAAGAAGCCCAGAATGTAGAGAGCAATCCAAGGGACACTAGAAGATTCCACGGTATTCTAAAAAAAAACTAAAAAGAAGGAGAATATTCGGAGGTCTTCTAGAAGGTTTCATATAATTCCAGAAATATGCTGAAAAAAATAAGTTTCACGAGAATTCTAGAATATTCTGCATAGCTCTAGAATCATATCTCAAAATTCTCTCAGAAAGGATGCTTCCTTTTAGGTATGAGTCATCTATTCCCCTACCTTTTCATTCTTGCCATTCTACTGTGACAATAGAAGCAATTGCTTGCTGCCGAGCACATGTATCTACCGTCTATTGAACATATTTCACAAAACTCTACGAGATATGCTTCCCTACTCTTTCAATAAGAAAAGGAAGGGATGATGATGGACACCAAGCTCAATAAATTGCATTCCACTTGTCGATAGGTATTAAGATAGGATGCCGACGGAGACTTCCTTGTAACAGCTCCTTGGACAGAGAAAACTAACAAGGTTCACTTAGCACAACTTAAAAGGTATCTCTGAACTACAAACTGAAAGGAGCCAATGTCAACTCAAGAATAGTCGTTCACTCTGTTTTTTCCCTACAACTCTTCCTACTTGACCTGACTGTACCAATCACTCTATTTGAAAGGAGACGACACTGAGGAATGAAGTACTTGAGCAAAGCGAGAGGAACGAGACTACACAAACCTAAATTCACTCCACCCCAGAGAGAGGAACTAACCAATAACTGAAAAGGTTCTACTCATGCGTCTAGAAAGCGATTACTTTCACAACATAGAAAATGACTCGAGAGCCACAAAAACAAGCACAGCTTTTTGCAGGTTTGGAACTCGGCCCGCTGGACTCACTACACTACCAAAGAGAAGGTGATACCCACTTGCAGTCTTCAAACACACTCATACCAATTCCAATTCAATCTGCTTCTTACGGGGAATCTTCTGAAATTTGGACGAGATCGATACTGACTGACTCTTACAAAATGCCGCCAGGTGGACATTCATCTGAACAGCTCTCCTACGCCTAGTCTTTATGCACACACACCCAATACAATAACCTCTTTCTTATTGAACCTATCGCCTTCATTCTTCAATCTCATGAAAGTCGATGACGAAGTGTAGATTGAAAGTCTTCTCTTCTTTTCTGGATGGCCTATTAAGAGTCAATAAGGTATGCATCAATACACTAGTTTCTACATAAAAGAGGGAAGAAGGTTTTGTACTGCAAGCGCCTCTGATGATTCCACATTTGCTTTGTCTGATCAACTTTCAACCAGCAAGACCTATTGATTGAAGTTACTGTTCATAGCTAATCCCAAATCGACGTAAGCTGGAACTTCGAGGTCAACTTCTAGGGCGCCACTCTGCTTCTTTGACTTAGCTGACTGACTATTTATGAAGAGAATAGATCTGACAGATCAAAGTCAGAATACTATCCAACCATGCCTGTCTCTTAGTCAAATAAGATTTTTTTGACAAATTCTTTTGGATTGTTAACGCTCCCTTGTGAATTGACCTGTTATTGGGATGGAAGTGCTTGGCCATTCAACTCGGATCGAAAGAGACAATTTCAATCTGGATGGATCATCTTTGTCGTTCAAGTTGGAATGAACTGCTTCGCACCTTATCCGGGCTTCAAAACACCAAATTTTAGTGCAATGGGTAGCAGGAGTCGAACCCTCTTCCACGACCCAAAATCAACTGAGCAAAGACAAGGCGCTTGCCTTCTATAAAGCACTTGACTGAGCTATTGCCTCTGTGAATGGTCCTTTGATGGCCTTTTTGAAAGTGTCTATCGAATCCTTGAATGTTTCATGCGAGATTGACACTGTTCTCTTGGCTACCTTTATCGCATGTGAAGTCATCTGATAGAGTGAATTCGCTTTCTTTTTCTACGTATTAATGAAATCAATTG